CTGATTTACATTATTTCTTTAATATAAAAAAAAATTAAACATAAGGTACTATGTAATCCTAGCTTATTCTAAAGCCCTTTTAGGAAATTTTCATAGGCATTCCAACACTTCCATAATATTTCAGCGGTAAATTAATTATTGTAATTGGAATATAATCTTAAGATTAATAAAATTTTATTAAACAGTTATCAATTTTACAAATATTTTTTTTTAATTAATTAGGAAAATCAAAAAAGTTTAACCAATGGTGCTTTAGAAAAATATATCCTAGTTCCTGGACTCGAATATTTTTAAACGGGCTGTATTATTTACTTCAAAATTTCATTTAAATAATCTTTGAATACAAAGCAAATAAAAGTATTCGAAACCGGTTTTTAAAAAGTGAAAAAAACCGGGTTATTCGATATTTGAAAAATCAACATTTAGAAAAAACTGACACTGGTAAAGCAGAAAAAACCGGTTTTAAAACCGGTTGAAAAATCGAGTCGATCACCCTACTATCTATCTATCTATCTATCTATCTATCTATCTATCTATCTATCTATCTATCTATCTATCTATCTATCTATCTATCTATCTATCTATCTATCTATCTATCTATCTATCTATCTATCTACCTATGTATCTATTAAATCAGAAGAAATACACCAATGCCTCCATCAGGCCTATTGAGCTTTTCTATTTTAGTGCTTCTTGCTGGAATCGAATTCAGGCACCCCGGCCTGAGTGGCTAAAGAAACCAATATCTCTGATATTGCGATAATTAAAGGGACAATAAAGTAGGTATATATTAATGTTTTTATTAAGTTATATTTCTAATTGACGATATAATCCGCAAAGTACACGTTCTTCGACCAATTTCATAAAAACTAATTCATATCTACATAATCCATTGCAGTCATCACCTATATCGCTAAGAGCCTCATTATATAGTTTCATTGAAAAATCGGAATCTTTAATAGAATCTCGATAAACATCTACTATCATATTCAAACAGTTATCTGAAAAGAAAATATGCATAAAGTGAATCTATTTTTAATAAATTCACAAAAATGACCCTACTATGTTCTTCGTTACAGTTTCCAGTTTCGGGATCGTCGTTGGCTTCACTGTAGCATTGTCCTACACAAATATAGTTAAAATATAATTAGCAGTTTATTTTACTATCTATTGTACAAGCAGACATTTACCGAAGGTTTCATCACAACTCTCTTTAGCCATATGAAGATCATGTACTGCCGAACGCTCCAAATCGTCTTCGGCAAATGTACAGTCTGGGAAGAAAATAATTTCGAATATTGTTTATCATGTTTTACTTATTTATTAACTTACTATCTTTCAAATCCTGTGATAACACCTGTTGAAGTACGCCACATATTAAAAAATATTTAAAAAACATTTGTTTATGATTCCAGTTTTATAGAAGTTTTAATTTTAAATTGATAACCAATGCAAAGATTTTTGCTGCTTTATATTGACACCAATTCTATAACAACCAAAATTACTGTGAATAAGTAATTATTTACAGCATCATGTCGACTCCCCAGAACTATAACATTCTAAGTCGAAAGAGTAAGACCACAAAGTTAAAATTTCTTTACATCTTATTAAGCTGATTTTTCATATAACTGTCTAACAAATCGTCATATCGAAAAAGCTCTCAAAGTTTTTTTGTAATACGTATATAATATCAGAACGGATTGACAGATCTGAACTAAGTTTTGAGAGCATTTAAATTGTACTAAGTACAGTTAGAACATTTCAGATTGGAGGCATCCAGGTGTAACTTAATAGTAAGAAATATATTTCCATTAAGTTTAGAAGAAAATAGCAAATTTTTGTCACGGAAATTTAGAAAAGCACTGGATCTAAATGTGTACCTAAAGGTACGTTCACACCTATATGATATCAGACCACCCCTATTTTTAGTAAATGTTTGTTGATCTTGCATTATATTTTGTAACTGACTGAGTAACTAACTAACTAACTAACTAACTAACTAACTAACTAACTAACTAACTAACTAACTAACGAAACTAACTACTAACTAACTAACTACTAACTAACTAACTAACTAACTAACTAACTAACTAACTAACTAACTAACTAACTAACTAACTAACTAACTAACTAACTAACTAACTAACTAACTAACTAACTAACTAACTAACTAACTAACTACTAACTAACTACTACTAACTAACTAACTAACTAACTAACTAACTAACTAACTAACTACTACTACTAACTAACTAACTAACTAACTAACTAACTAACTACTAACTAACTAACTAACTAACTAACTAACTAACTAACTAACTAAACTAACTACTACTAACTAACTAACTAACTAACTACTAACTACTAACTAACTAACTAACTAACTAACTAACTAACTAACTAACTACTAACTAACTAACTAACTAACTAACTAACTAACTAACTAACTAACTAACTAACTAACTAACTAACTACTAACTAACTAACTAACTAACTAACTAACTAACTAACTAAACTAACTAACTAACTAACTAACTAACTAACTACTAACTAACTAACTAACTAACTAACTAACTAACTAACTAACTAACTAACTAACTAACTAACTAACTAACTAACTAACTAACTAACTAACTAACTAACTAACTAACTAACTAACTAACTAACTAACTAACTAACTAACTAACTAACTAACTAACTAACTAACTAACTAACTAACTAACTAACTAACTAACTAACTAACTAACTAACTAACTAACTAACTAACTACTAACTAACTAACTAACTAACTAACTAACTAACTAACTAACTAACTAACTAACTAACTAACTAACTAACTAACTAACTACTAACTAACTAACTAACTAACTAACTAACTAACTAACTAACTAACTAACTAACTAACTACTAACTAACTAACTAACTAACTAACTAACTAACTAACTAACTAACTAACTAACACTAACTAACTAACTAACTAACTAACTAACTAACTAACTAACTAACTAACTAACTAACTAACTAACTAACTAACTAACTAACTAACTAACTACAACTAACTAAATAACTAACTAACTACCAACCTAACTAACTACCTAACACTAACTAACTACTAACTAACTAACTAACTAACTAACTACAACTAACTAACTAACTACTAACTACTAACTAACTAACTAACTACTAACTAACTAACTAACTCAACTAACTACTACTACGACATACTAACTAACTACTAAACTAAACTAACTAACTAACCTAACTAACTAACTAACTACTACTACAACTAACAACTAACTAACTAACTAACTACTAACCTCTAACTAACTAACAACCTAACTAACTAACTAACTAACTAACTAACTACAACTAACTACTAACTAACTAACTAACTAACTAACTAACCAACTAACTAACTAACTAACTATCTAACTCAACTAACTAACTAACTAACTAACTAACTAACTACTAAAACTAACTAACTACTAACTAACTAACTAACTAACTAATCTAACTAACTAACCTACTAACTAACTACAACTACTAACTAACTACTAAGCTAACTAACTAACTAACTAACTAACTAACCTAACTAACTAACTAACTAACAACTACTAACTAACTAACTAACTAACTAACTAACTAACCTAACTAACTACTAACTAACTAACTAACTAACTAACTAACTAACTAACAACTAACTAACTACTAACTAACTAACTAACTAACGAACTAACTAACTAACTACTAACTAACTAACTAACTAACTAACTAACTAACTAACTAACTAACTAACTAACTAACTAACTAACTAACTAACTACTACTAACTAACTAACTACTAACTAACTAACTAACTACTAACTAACTAACTAACTAACTACTAACTAACTAACTAACTAACTAACTAACTAACTAACTAACTAACTAACTAACTAACTAACTAACTAACTAACTAACTAACTAACTAACTAACTAACTAACTACTACTAACTAACTAACTACTAACTAACTAACTAACTAACTAACTAACTAACTAACTAACTAACAACTAACTAACTACTAAACTAACTAACTAACTAACTAACTAACTAACTAACTAACTAACTAACTAACTAACTAACTAACTAACTAACTAACTACTAACTAACTAACTAACTAACTAACTAACTAACTAACTAACTAACTAACTAACTAACTAACTAACTAACTAACTAACTAACTACTACTAACTAACTAACTAACTAACTAACTAACTAACTAACTAACTAACTAACTAACTAACTAACTAACTAACTAACTAACTAACTAACTAACTAACTAACTAACTAACTAACTAACTAACTACTAACTAACTAACTAACTAACTAACTAACTAACTAACTAACTAACTAACTAACTAACTAACTAACTAACTAACTAACTAACTAACTAACTAACTAACTAACTAACTACTAACTAACTAACTACTAACTAACTACTAACTAACTAACTACTAACTAACTAACTAACTAACTAACTAACTAACTAACTAACTAACTAACTAACTAAACTAACTACTAACTAACTAACTAACTAACTAACTAACTAACTAACTAACTAACTAACTAACTAACTAACTAACTACTAACTAACTAACTACTAACTAACTAACTAACTAACTAACTACTAACTAACTAACTAACTAACTAACTAACTAACTACTACTAACTAACTAACTAACTACTAACTAACTAACTAACTAACTAACTAACTAACTAACTAACTAACTAACTAACTAACTAACTCTACTACTAACTAACTACTAACTAACTAACTAACTAACTAACTAACTAACTAACTACTAACTAACTAACTAACTAACTAACTAACTAACTAACTACTAACTAACTAACTAACTAACTAACTAACTAACTAACTAACTAACTAACTAACTAACTAACTAACTAACTAACTAACTAACTAACTAACTAACTAACTAACTAACTAAACTAACTAACTACTAACTAACTAACTAACTAACTAACTACTACTAACTAACTACTAACTAACTAACTAACTAACTAACTAACTAACTAACTAACTAACTAACTAACTACTAACTACACTACTAACTAACTAACTAACTAACTAACTAACTAACTAACTAACTAACTACTAACTAACTAACTAACTAACTAACTAACTAACTACTAACTAACTAACTAACTAACTAACTAACTAACTACTAACTAACTAACTAACTACTAACTAACTAACTAACTAACTAACTAACTAACTAACTAACTACTAACTAACTACTACTAACTAACTACTAACTAACTAACTACTAACTAACTAACTAACTAACTAACTAACTAACTAACTAACTAACTAACTAACTAACTAACTAACTAACTACTAACTAACTAACTAACTACTAACTACTAACTAACTAACTAACTACTACTAACTAACTAACTAACTAACTATAACTAACTAACTAACTAACTGACTAACTAACTAACTAACTACTAACAAACTAACAAACTAACTAATATACTCCCAATATCCTTTCACTTTTAACACCCACTGTAAGCACATTGTTCAGTTCCAAACAAATTTATACCCATTAGCAGTCATCAGTTATGATGAAAAAATTAAAAACTAATATAATTTATGACAACGAAATCACAAAATCAGATTAAATTAATATTCATCGATTAGAGAAGTATATCATAAAAAAAACATGTAGGTATATAAAATATGTATGTATGTATCTCATCAATGATCATAACATATATAAATATATATATATATTTTATATAAATTCCCAGACAGGCGACTTTAGAAATATGTCTGTGTTGTTTCATTTGTTTATCAGTAATCAATAAAGAAAGATTTTAAATAATTTTTTTTTGGAATATTGGAAAACAATAGACATATTTATCTAACGATACAATCGAAACCATTCGTTATGTTTACGGAACTACATACCAAAAGTCAAGATTTAAACATTCATAATAATAACACCTCGTTTTTTGGCGATTTAAGTTTTCTAAGAAATAATTTAAATATTTCTAGACATCTGAGTTAATGTAAACAAATATTTGTTAAATAGTTAAATAATTAATAATACCTTTGAAAGATATTCTTATTGGGAAAATCGTAAAAAAAGTTTGGGCAAATTTGAAAGCATGTCTGCAGAATATAAATTTGCAAGCAGATTGGTTTGTTAATATTTTATTTACATATTTAGTATTTTGTATTTTATTTTGTTGTTGATTATAGGTAATTAATTTGTTTATGTTTTCTTTTTGGGGAGTTTGTTTATCGAAGATTAGCATATATTTTATGTTGAAATGATTTATTAATATTAAATTACATTCATTGAACTTTGTTTATGTTTTGGTTTTACATCATATTGGTGTCAGTGCAAAAATGGGAAAATCCATTTTTTTATTTAAATGTATTAAGTTTTTTTTTAATTGCCTCAATTACGGAATTTGGTTGTAAAATCATAAAATTGGCTAAAGTGATAAAAAAAATTTTGAAATAAATAAATTTTCCTCGCTTTACATAAATATTATGAGCCAAATAAGCTAACTCCACTTGTGTTTTATATTATTGCCTGCCAGACTTATGGACTTCAGACATCACTAAAAATGAAATCTTAATTTTGCTTACAGATAGTTACTACTTAATCTAGAGAATAGTAAAATAACTAACGGGTCCATAACCTTGTAATGGGGCTTATATTAGGTTCAGATATTCGGTAATTAGTTTCCATATATCAAGTAAAATTGATGTTTAGAAAGCTTAAGATCTTATGATTAGTGACCCTGCTTGTGCTCAATAGCATTCATTTTTACAATAATAACAGATTTCCTAATACTGATCAACGAATTTTGACAAAGATTAGGTTTATAGGAGGATGTATCTACATTAATTCCAAAGAAATACACCTTGGCCACTATGGGTCCTATAGTGCGCTCCATTTCATGGAAAATGTTTGCTGGTAAGAACCGAAACCTCATACATATAGTATTCACTTAACGATATTCGCCCGATATTCAGAAAATAAGTTTCCTGGGTGTAATTCCTAAGAGTTTTCCAATCAGTGTTCGTGAGGTATGTTATATTCATAATAATATTACTCCCGAAATATTTGGATCTAATTTCGACAAAAGCCTGACAATGACAAAGAAAGTGATTCAGACATTCTGTATGGGATCAGTGTTTCAAAATTCCCTTCATATGGTATGCAATTGGGCACGTTCGACGATTGTGCAAGCCTTCCAATGTGTCTAGTATATATTTATGACGTGTCCTATAACCGCTTTAGGTCAGTTGGTCTAAGTTATGAGCCGCCTCATATCTTATATATGTTTCAATAGGTGGAATATCTAACAACGTTTCCAGAGCCAGACAAAGACTTTAAACATTTTGACAAACAAACCTAGAGAGCAATAAAGTATACTTTTCTAAAAATTTAGTTTAGAATTTCTTCATCACATCAGGTTTTCGAGATATCGTGTCTTCGCGCTGTCATAACATCTCAAATATGACCATTTCTAGTTAATATCGGTCCGTAAACCAAGTCTTTGCCGATTGTATATGACAAAGGTTAAAGTGTATGTAGAGCAATTTTAACACAGTTTTCAACCATTTGTTCAGGGCTCTGTGAACCATGTATGTTTAAGGTTGTGGATCTCAAGTAAACAATTCCATACCGAAACAATTCCATAAGTATTATGAACTTCTCTTTGAGTTTAGGGATCGAATTTGATTAAATATTAAACGCATTTTTATAACTGTTAATAATCTAGTCATTTTGTCCTTCAAATGGTATAGGTTTCGGATATATTTAGGAATTTAAGAAAATTTCTGGCCTTGTCCTACTTAATCCATGATATATTGAACCTATTACTTTTTATTGTAATTAAAATCTCCCCCATTCGGACTTATGACTTCCACAAAGTCTATTTAATAAGCGACCATATGATCCCCGTTACATTGTATCAATTCATTGTTTTTCCAATTAAAATAATTCGAATCACTTAAGCTATTAGAAATTTTTCAAAGACTTCCGTTTAATTAGGTTTTTTACTTTCGTCGGACCACATTTCTTCGAAAAATTTAGGTGGAATCACTTTAAATCATTGGAGATGTGGTTTTAAGATCCTTACATTCACAGTATTGACCTCAGGGATCTTTAATTCACGTTCTAAGCCAAAGTTTTTCATTTTGTCTTATATAACTTGGAGCTTTAAACGATTTCTATTGAGATTGATGACTTAGTTTAAGTTTTTTTAGTATTGACTCCAACAATCTTATAGATGGGTTGGTGATTTGAATTCATGATACCAGTGTTCTCACTGCAAGTTCTAGATATTGTGAATTTATTGGAGTTTAAGCTATTTGATCTAAAAACTAGAGCTAGTTGCCTTATTTGGAAATTATTTGGTATTAATTCATCTGATCTGTCTGTCTTTTTAGGAATCGTTTATTTTTATTGGTTTTAGTTAAAGTTTACATTCCTATTCGATGATCATGCCCAGTATAATGTACACAGAGAGAAAAAGTAATATACACGCCTTGTACCAAATTGACACCAAACTGTTTATAATTTTTCGATAACAACCGTTGTCAAGGTATATACATACGTACGACAACACTATGTCGCAACGTTGTCAACATTGCAACAATTCTTTGTCGAAATCTAAATTTTATACACATTCGTTGTCTTAATGTTAACAACGTGGTAAGCTCACTATTGACAAACAATCCGTTGCCAATAGTGAGCTTAGCACGTTTGTTAACATTAAGACATGGATGTGTATTAAATTTAGTTTTCGACAACGAATTGTTGCAATGTTGACAACGTTGCGACATAGTGTTGTCGTACGTATGTATATACTTTAACAACGGTTGTTATTGAAACATTAAAAACTCTTTGGTGTCAATTTGGTACCAGGAGTGTATATTTCTTTTTCCCTCTGTGTAGAGCTCCACATATTTCAGGTTTTTCTGTGAGTGTTAGTGTTTGAGATACGGGTGTTTGCTTGGTTATCTGTCCCTACATTAACGATGTTTTTTTATCCATTCGAACAGAAGCCTCAATAGAGGAAGTTTATGAATCCACCAACACCAAAGTATCGTCATTTTAAAATGAGTTTTAGTATGTGTTGATCCTTGCTAAGGTTCTGCTAGGCTTAATATTCATCAACCAACACCAAGGTATCTTCCATTTTAATGTGAGCTTTAGCATCTGTAGATCCTTGCTGATGTCCTTACTAGTTTTTAAAAATTAATATCATTATAGCTTGTGAAACATTCACAAAGATTATCTAATGTTTCATTGGGTAGGTTGTAAACGGGTTATAATAACAAAACAAGCTTTAGGATCTGCAGGTTCATATGGTGATTTTAAATAAAGTGATTTGCTGTAGACTACGCCTCAAAGAGTATTAACAAAATTACGATTGTACTACAGAAAAAATGGTTAATGAATGATTACATTCTACAAACGAAATTGTACATTATGCTAATGAAATGTTTCATATACATATTAAATGAAGAACATCTGATGAATGCGCTTACATTAGCTAAAAATGGATAGTGAAAGAAATGAAATGTTTCATATATTTAATGAAAAACATCTGAGAAATGCATTAACATTTGCTAAATATAACAATGATTCATTCTACAAACGAAATTGTTCATTATACTAATGAATGTTTCATATACATATTAAATGAAGAACATCTGATGAATGCTTTTACATTAGCTAAAAATAGATAGTGAAAGATTTCATTATACAAAGAAATTGTTCATTATGTCAATGAAATATTTCATATATTTAATGAATAATATCTGATGAACGCAAATAAGAATGATTCATTCTAGAAACGAAATTGTACATTATGCTAATGAAATGTTTCATATACATATTAAATGCAGAACATCTGATGAATGCGCTTACATTAGCTAAAACTGGATAATGAAAAATTTCATTATACAAACGAAATTGTTCATTATGTCAATGAATGTTTCATATATTTAATGAAGAATATCTGATCTTATTATCTTCGCACAAACAAACATCTATAGATCTGTCAAAAATTTGCCTCTTCTTTAACGTAAACTAACACAAGACAACAAAATTTTAAAAACTCCAAAACTCAGAGACCAAAGTTATATTCAGATTGAGTACTGCTCAATCCTTTAGAAAAGTATACTTGGTCTTTGTTGGCTTGTGCAATCAGCTGAGCTAATTAGACTACTGTATAACACTTTCCTCTGCTGAATCAATATAATCCACCTTATCCAAGCATAGTGTGGTCATATTATTGAATGTTTAAGTAAACACAGTTTCCTGTTGTAAAATTTTGAATTATGGAAATATTATCCATTAGTAATGACTTGATTCTAAGTTCTGAAGTAAATTACAAAAGTATTCTATAAATTAATCCGGTTTTGTTTACTAATTCTGTTAATTAGTTAGTTAATTGTTTACTAGTCTTACCCACATTTCTGGCGCCTAAATTAAACATTTTATTTTGATTTTGTTGTTGTTGTTTAAAATATGCAAATTTTTAGCGTTTTGTTTTTAATTTTTTATTTTGTGTTGTAGCTTTTAGCATTATAACGTCACAAATTATATTGTTAGTATATTATATCATTATTTTTGAGGGTATCTTAACCTTTCACAAGCCAAAAAAAAAGTAAATAAGATGATAAGCCATTCATTTCTTTTAGGTAATGAAGAGACCTGGTAAAAACCCCCAGTGCAAAAAAAAATAAAAAGTTGTTTTCTTTTTTTTTTTTAATTTTTGTATAAAAAATCTTTTGTATTTTAAATAAATATTTTTGTTTTGTTTAAATATGTTAATTACAAAATTATTAAAAAAAATTGTGAATTTCGCATTTTTTGAGTTTTTTTTTTACTTCACAATCAGGCTTAAAAATTATAGAATAATTTAAATAAATAATACATTTAAATGCTTATAAATTAATAGTAGTAGTAGTAGTAGTAATTAATTTAAATAAAAAAAATTTTGCTTATCACAACCAAATTGAAAGGGAATGTTTTGTTTCAGGTTTTGTTTTCTTTAAGTTTAAATATAAAAATGATTTAATTGGCTCAAAAACGGCCAGTTTTTTTTTTTTTGTTTTGTAATAATTAGAGGAATTTTAACAGAATTTTTTTAACTAGAAAAAATTTGAAATTCCTGGGACTTAAAAACTATAATAACTGGTTTAAAATTAAAAAAAAAATAAAGCTATAAATTTCAGTCAGTCAAATATGAGATAAATTGTTGCAGATGTTGCAACAGCAACATCCTTAATTAACACAGCCATTTGCTTGGATTAGGGAGGTACCTTAAATGTCTAGATGGCATTTTGATGATCACCAGCCCTTAAGTGTAAATGTTGTCTGTGTTGATTATGTTGTGATGGTCTATGTTGAGTTTGCTGACTGTTACCAATTTTAGCATCAATCCAATCCAAATAATGGGTTACACGGGTAAAACCACCAGGTATATTAGTTTCACAACCATCAGCTGGACCAAAGCTGGTAATACCCACTACCATTTGTGTACCTTTTAAAACCAAAGGGCCGCCAGAATCACCAGAGCAAACGGTTTCATCTTTCAAGCCTTTAGCACACATAACACCATCGGTTATAACATCAAATTCATTGGCACACTCGCTATTAGAGATGACTCTAAGTTCGGTATATTGCATGGGATCTGAGTTTCTAGTTTCACCAGCAGCACCCCAACCGGTGGCCACTACTTTGGAACCGGTAAATTGATTGCTTTTCATGCTATAGGGTAAAGTGGCGGGCTTAATGCGTGCAGTAAATTGCACATCTTCTGGCAACTTAACCAAGGCAATATCGTTGGCTGCTGTAACTGGATTAAATCTTTCATGCACTATAAATTTATTACTTCTCAAGATAACTTTGCCCGATTCCAAAGATTCGTCTACACTCTTTAGTGCCCAAGTAAACATCAAAATGTGTTACACCCATAGTACAATGGCCGGCAGTTTAAAATCCATCGATTATCCAGTAAAGTGCCGCCACATAAAATGCGTTTGCGCCACAGCTGTTTGCCAATTAACATCACCTGATAGGGAAACTTTTCTATGCGTCCCAATTTTGATTGACCTATAGCATAGGAATCCGTTACATTTATGAAATTCATAATAATTACTGCCAAACAGGCCACTAAAAATGTTCTTAGGCCCATCATTTTCACTTAATTTCTTTTTTTCTTTTAATTTATTGCTTAACACTTTTTTTGTTAAAATTCACTTTTTTATCACTTTTTCTTCTTAAAAGTCTTCAATGTCTTTGTTTGTTTTTTAAAATTCTTGTTTTATAAAATTCTTTGTTTGCTTTTAAATAAATTCTTTAATAATTTCTTTCTTTTATAATTTGTTTAAAAAATTTTGTGTTATTTATTCAATGTGTTCTTCACTATTCAAACTCCCGTTTAAATCTAAACCCATTCTAACTGAGCACTGAAATTTTATTTCGAAACTTGGCTCGCTCTCAATGAAAATACAGCAAAAAAACAATTTTTTTGCTTTGCCGGTCTTCTTCTCTTTTTTTGCCAAACAAGTTATAAAAAAAATATACAAAATTATTTGTAAAAAAAATTATTTTTTTAAAAAAACAAGATTTGTTTTTTGCTCTTCATTTCAGTTTGTTTTTTACTTTTTGGGAATTTCATGTTTTGGCGATGAGTATTTTGGCTAATTTCGTTGTATTTGCGAACCATTTCTAAGCAAAACAAATTTGTTTTTGTCGAAATTTTGTTGATAACAAACACTTTGAATGGGCGGTCTGATGGAGATGAATCTCCTCATCAGTTACTGTTATCACTACAACTATTTACGGTTTCGCAATTAAGGTGACCAGGGGGTCAAGTATAAATTTTTAAAAATAATCTTGTTTTCGAGGAAATTGAATTGGGTCAGAAATGTTGTCTATAGTGCTGATAAGTTGTCGACATAATTAGTTTATGGGTTGGATTATAATTAGAACAGAATTTGATTTTATTTTTTTTAAATCGTCATTCATCACATCTATCTTAATAAGTTTAACTCCAATAGGTCCTTTAAACATTGGATGCTCATTCCCCAAGAACTGCGATCATAATTACTAATCTTCCAATTATCAAATTCGCTTGAACGATTAACTTTTTCTAACTACTCAAGAACTACCAGAATCGGCAAAGTAAACTATAAAAATATCAAATTCTTTGGCATACTCAGCATTTTGTATTGCTATTAGTTTGGTATTCGGTATATGAGCCGAGTTTATAGTTTCATTAGTGACACCTCAAAAGGTTGACTCTACTTTGTAGCCGATAAATTTATCGTATCGATAGGGTAAAGTAAAGGGCTTAACGCATGAGGTGAAGACCACATCATCTACGCATAATTTATCATTGAATTTCATTCACAAATCATCGAATTTTCATGCTCGCTTGCACCATTTACTTCTTCTAACCACTCCAATCGATGGACTCTACTTTTGAGCTGATACATTGAACGTTATTTAGCGATAGTTTAAAGTGACGGAATTAATGAAGTAAACTTCACAAACTTCAAAAACTTCTTGAAGTCCTTAAAGCATAGTCTCTTTAATGTCGATATGGAACGTCACAAAGAATATGTATATACACAAGGATATTTGAACGGACGGTTGTTCGAATACATTGTACATCAACTCACCAATCTGGACAAATATTTGATGTTGAAATAAACTAACTTGGGGCAAAAATGAAGGATGATTCTTCGTCTCGTTGCGAATATAGGCTCGGAAAAGATCACCTAAGTCGTGCAAAAAGGACTGGTTAAGATACCAGACCTAGACTAGAACAAAGCAAGATATATGTAGTCTGCCAAGATTAGCAACTGGAACAAAAGATTCCTTGTGAATTATTTGACTCGCGGTTAGAAATGAACGCCATCGAATTTTCATCTGATCTGATACTAAGGTAGTCAGTGACTCTCAGTATTCATCCTGAACTGTCTTTTGGTAAGCTAAACGAAATGCTTGTAGTTGAAACCCAAATGGCAGGAAGAGAATGTTGGTTTAAGGACATATGTATGCCAATGCTATGTACTTGGAAATAAGTCTTTTGGTGCTCTTGTGGTCTCATAACTGTCCCACATACCCTTCTGTAGTGATTGCCTCTTCAAAAGTCGTACAATTGATTGTTGGTTGTGTGCGCATCAAGTGTGACAGTTGGCGTTTTAGGTTACCGCTCTCTATTGACTTAACTAAGTGAATGACGAGGTATTCTTTGCGTTTTTCTCATGATGCGAGCACTTGACCGAGATGTAAAAAAATTGTCGCCTGAATATTCTTCTCTGAAGTCATTCAAAGTCGTTTGGCGAGCCTGTATTTAGTCCCCTCAATAGATGATAAAAAAACACCGAGATATTAGACCATTAAGGCGTTAAGCAAATTGGCATCTTGCCTCTTCACCGTAGTTATTAAAACTTCTGCAGTAGTCATTTAAGGAATGATCTACTCTCCGACCAAGCGCTCTATTATACAATTTCCTGTCATCGCCGCTGTCACTAATCGTAATCGCCATTGTGACCTACAGCCATCTGAAAGATTCTTTGTAAGCTTTGTCAAGAGAGTGGATCAACATCTGTGTAAACCAAACCTGTATAGTTTCTGCGATGAGTACAACATAAAAAAGTCATTCCGACTAATGCATCAATTTCCCTCTCATGAAGACGAGTATCTGTATTAACTTTATCTAAAGAGGTAGATACAGATTCGAATACTTTCCCTGTATGTCCATTAGTATATCTAAAGTAGGGATAATAGAGTTTAACACTACATAAAATTTCTACAAGACTAAGGTAACTCAGAGTCCACTGTCCACATTATTTCAATCCATGATGAGAAATACATGTTCCCTGTGTAACACATTTATGACTCCAAAAGCAAGGTGATTACTATCATCTGAACAATCGAATTTTACAGGAAGTTGGTTGATAATTATGTGTTGTTATACTGTTATCAAAATGAGAATAATCTTTATGAATTTCGAAACATAATAGATATTTGATCTCCATAGTTTGATGTGTTATGAATGAGAATACGATGTTAAAATAAAGCAGGATGATACCGCATTAAGTCGAATGGTCAAGGGCTTTAAAAAGATCCATACTTTTGAATGGACTTAGAAAGTCTCTTAAGAAAACTGTAATTTTGATAGATATCACATCATCTATATAGACCATACAGACTTCAGACTCTAAATCTGACGTTAAACTAAAAACACATATAACACTTTTTGTACCTCAAAGAATTTTTTATTCATGAATTCAAATCACAGTATAACTCAACCAACATCTGGCCACCTTAATGACTCTGACTCATTGTGAATTAAATGCGAAATACAAAACAATTATCCGGTACGCAAAATTTCTAGTAAACATTATTACGAACGTTAAATTTTTTTTTTAAATGATCTAATTGGCGCCGCATACGATTAATTCAAATTTCTGAAAATTAATATTTTTTTGAATCACAATAAAAAGAAAAATAATTAATAAAAACCTACTTAATTTACATATGAACCAGAAAATTGAACAAAACAAATCTTAATAAATTTAACTAACATTCTTAGTAAATGGGGATTCTTTAATAAACAATAATAAAATAACTCATCAACAAAAAAAATATAAACAAAAAAACACATATTTGGCGTCTATGAAAGAATGCGTTTGACGTCAAACTTAAAGATATTGATTAGATTTCAGAATAATACACAATTTGATTCTTAATATGTATCTTTTTTAGCTGTTATTGTAGCTATATAGAAAAATTTGTAAATATGTGTAGCTGTGTATAGAGTGAGTGAAATTAAACTGTCGAATTTTTTGAACGAAAACATAAAACTGGAATTGACAGCAGACTGGAGCCAAACTCAAAACATTCTAAGCTTTAAATTCTAAGCATCTGACTGAGCAAACGGTTGGACGGACGCACCTTAACACTAATATAATTTGCATAATTTGTTTTTTTTTTTAATAAATAGTTTCTTAAACATAAAAAATATTAAGAAAATTAATAAAACTACATTTAATAGGAATTTAGAGAGTGAAGAAACTAGTTGTGTTTTTTTCTTAATCGAATAGAATAGAAACAAATCTGGTGTCGAAATAAAATCTATTTTATATTTATTATTTTCGTACTAAGTATGTAGAAGATAATTAAGGAAACAAATTGTTTTTAATCAGATTTAATCTCAAGAAGTGATAAAAATGTATTAAATTAAAAATAATATAATTTTAAAAAGTTATGGAAAACTATAGTCGTCAGAGTTGAAGTTTAGTTGAAGTCTTTTTTAGATGAAAGTTTGTTTCAATTGATTCCGCATTTCAACAAGAGTTTTCGAAGGAAACTTTCAAGGATCTTAAAGATCCGAGGTGTAAACAAACGTTAATCTCGGTTTCACCAAATCAAATACGAAGAGACACTCACTGCTTCATATACGTATTCTGGATTGGTTTCCGAAGACATTTACTGCTTCATATACGATTTCGATGAACTTCAAAAGTTCACTTTTGATATTTTGTCCCTTTTGAAATTTGTTTCCGGGTAAGCAAATATTTTGTTGTGTCATGTTGAATTGATATAAACCTGAATTTAAAAACTGAAATATAACAACTACCTTAAACATTTTTACTACAGTTGCCAAATATTGTTGATATTTATTTCAGACATTTGCATACACAAAAAAAAAAAATTATTAATTCTGGAACTTTTTTTGCATAATTTTTTTAATACTTGTATGTAGATTAGGGTATTCCTTGGGTTATTTTGACAGCTTGACAACATTAAATGTTTTTCATTTAGTTGTTAATTTTGATTGAAATCAAATAAATATGAAATATTATTCAATAGGTTTAAAGTCCAATAGCAATAAGACTTTCAGCGTACGCAATAAAGCAGATACAAGTAAGCGACCGTTTAAAGTCCAAAAGTAACTATTTGTGATTGTACTTTGAGCTTAAGACGTACGATAAAGTGAGTCACAAAAGTAAGCTGCCGCATAGGTTTATATTTCAACTATTATCAGCGGTTCCACAAAGAGTCAGCACACGTAAAGTACAGTAATTTCTACTAAAGTCTAACCACTTGGTTGACCCTAATTTGAATGTATTGGGTTTTTTTGATACCAATGTACTCTTCTTAATCTAGAGTGAAGACAGTCGACACTTTAGTGGACCCTAGATAAACGACATTTGAAACTTTTTTTATTGTCAATTTTCTACTTGTAGTTGAAGTGATGTGTGATTATAGTCTCCAAAGAGTCAATTGACTAGCTCCTAGCACATGTCCATGTTAAAATAACGATAGCAATTTGGGAGGCTAATTCGATACTGTCCTTCAGTTCTGAAGGGAAATTGCATTGATCCAATGATGATTGTTTTTGTAAAGAAACTCAAGATTTTTTCTGGGAGACTTTTGA